TGGACAAAATTTGTTTCAGGGCAGCCAAGTTGCCCACATTGTGATATAACCTGTGATTTTGATTCCAAGTTCCAACCTGATCACAGGATTTAAAGTAGCAAAGCATAAATGTTTAGAAATTGGTGATGGGCATGGGCTAATGGTGACTGATCATATCCATATTTCAAATTGTGCAACAATATGCTGACGTTTTGGCATATACAATAATAACATTGATGTAAACAAAACATATCAATCAAGCTAGGTTAGTTAGTTCACTGGTTAACTGCAAAAGAGACTATCACAGTAGAATTCTAGGGTTGATGAGCAATCAACATTTCAAGAAGATGGCTCACTTATTTAAACCAAAATGTCAGCAAGGTTTCAAAAGGAAGCTTCACTTGCAAAAATTTCAATACAATATGATATTCAGACCTACTCATTTTTGTTACCTGTCAAAAACTACTTTGTGAGCAGAACAGTGTAAATCGTCAACAACAAATTGTCACAAAACTGAATGAAGTCACCATTCGCTCGGGTCGAACCCCTCCGGCCCTCCCTACTGCACTCAAATCGACAAAGCCCTCAATAAAAACTATTTGAATTCCAAAGGAATAGAAGCACTATATCCTGAAAGTATCAAAATTTAACACATAACAGGGTGTTTTTCCTCGACCTCGGTGTAAAGCTGTCTGGCTCTAGTCTATAGAAGAGTTCAGCAATCGACCTAATGTGGATCGAACCAACGCAACTCAAAGTATTAACACTCAAAGAATAGGAGAACAAACATGAGCAACTCAATTGAATAACACACGATGCCATATCTTTGGTACAAAAATCACAGCCAACAACAAAATTTAGTATAAACCAACAATAATAATTTGAATAAATTTAGCTTATTAGCGTTGTCTTCAACTTAAGATGGCGTCTAGATATTAACTCGACTGATGACTGTGGCGCCATCTACCGCTGAAATCCAACAAACCACGGTAAATAGCCTGCATGACCAGATTACGGTTAATAAGCATCGAAAAACAACGTGTGCTGTACATTTTTTGCCCGTTTTTTCTAACAGTGAATTAGATTGGTTCACTTCATGGGTTTATGTATGATGCCTAAATTAATTTAAGTTCCTTGTAAAATTTATGTACTCCCGTTAATCTGCTAATTAATGAACCCGTCACACATTCTCTATGACTCGATCAATAATTATTCATTTATTTATTCACATTCTAAATTTTTGTTTAACTCTTTAGAAGCGTAGTGTCTTGTTTTTGGTATCTTTTGAGAGTTGGTTGCTCTTATTCGAGCTTTATAAGCTATATTATAAACTCATAAGTTTCCAATAACATTTCAGACAATTGAGCTTTCGTGTACTTGGAAAAAATTGTCTATTTTCTCATGATGCAGGACAGTTTTTCATTTAACAATAATTATTGATGGCAGTAAGCACGTATGAAGATACTTATAAGCTAGATTACAATAAAGGTATAACAAAGCTTAATAATAAAGCTCATCACATGGCAGATAGAGCAACTAGAATTAATATCAAAACATGTGAGCAGTTTCAAGATCTGAGGCTGTGATAAGACAGTGCTCAAGATGAGACTATCGGGTCTGCACTAAGTGCCGGCATCTCTTATCTCTTCTCTGTCCGCTAATGAAATTTTCTCCTGTTCTGAAAATTGACAAGGCTCACCTGCAGCATACTTAGATGATTGGCACTTCCCCGTGATGAATAATTTGTGACAGTGACATCCATGATCGAGTGATGGAGGGTATAAACAGTTAAGAATCTTTGCATATTAATGAAGTTATTTCCAACATTAAGTCATTTTTATTATATTTCTTGTTTTCGAGAATATAAATTATTGTCCTATTATTACTATTATGAATAAACTTTTATGGGATTGTCTTGCAGTTGAATTGGATAAAGTTGTGCGAAAATTTTCATTTCATATATGGTATCACTAGGTTTGAAACATCACGATTAGTAATTTATGTGAATATGTGAGGTATTCACACAATCGAAAGGGTGTCAAAGTAAAGAAATAATCAAGGAAGCTTTTATTTTAATTTATCAAACAAAATCTTGACTTTGAGTTCGAATGATTCGTCTTCTGCTTCTCCCTGTTATAAGGTTAACAAAATCATTTTAAAACTCCTAAGGTATTGCCAAATCCGCTGTGAAATTCAGACGTAGGATCCGCTAGTAACGTACAACTTTAGATGACTTGAATATTCTACGGATGCACAGTATGATTTAAAGGAGAAAAAAATTTTCATTCAATATACAGTGAAATTAGGTTAAACCATCGCTTTCCTTATGTGACTTAGTTGGATAGACTTACTTCATATGAGATGTTATAGAGTGCCAATTCAATCATAATAACTCGCATTCGTAAATAATGCAAGCTTCTATAAAAGAGAAACAATCTGATCATGAATACTAAATTTGTCACTCGTTCAAATTCACAATAATTAAATCGTTTTTATTTATTCAAATTATATTGGGCTTGTTACTTTTTTGGCAGCATTTTCTCGTAACATCACACCAGCCTTGTTAGAAAGTGTTTAATAGTATTGTTGGAACAGAACAAAAGTAATATCTTAATAAGAACAGGTATCAGTCACTGCTAATGGAGCCGTGGACAGGCTATATATTATAGGTTATTTTGAGGTAAACGAGATGTTCTTAATAGTTCATGAGGTACATTGCTGATGATGATATCCGTCTTCTTGTTGGATTAGGTTGCACTGGTAAGAAAATGGACGGCCGTCCTGTGCCTATCGTTGTTCGGAACCATGAGACTCGAAAATTCGAGCTGGATGAAGCCGCCCTGCGGGGCGTCCTGCTGAGTCCTGAAGTGGGCGACAAACCCATCTGCGTGGTGGCCGTGGCGGGCGCCTATAGGAAGGGCAAGAGCTTCCTACTCAACTTCCTAGTGAAGTACTGCATCAATAAAGTGAGTATTTTAAATACTTTCCGCGGTTTAAAGGATTTCGTAGAGTTCACTCAAAATAAAACCAAAATTTAAGTTCGAACTGATATTGACACACACACAAGCTCGAACTTACCATTGACACACATTGAAGCTCGTAATTGCAGGAACAATGTAACTTTTACTAACGAACGTTCATGCATACGAAAAATTTGAGTTGCAAACAACGGAATCCATCCTCTTACACGATCTTTCTTAGGGTCTTGGAAAGATATTTGAAAACCGGCTAGAGATGTTAGGAAAAACCGTTACCGTTGGAAAATAAAAAACGAAAATTCGTTATGAAGACAATACCCAATACGTCGATTAGGCAATGGATTAACGCAATAAATGCACCACCGAAACCATCCTAAAGTTTAAAGAGACTTTGTTCGCAAGTTTACTGGTGCGAGGCTCCAAGAAAAAAAAATCAAAGAGTCGTTTGAATCTAAAAGCCGAAATGAAGTAGCTCATGTTAACATGGCTACTGAAGAGATCGCTACAAGAAAATTGCGTGATAGAGACTATCAATATGGAGAGGCTCGAATGATTTTCGGGGACCTCATGATGAATGTCTTGGACATCGCCTGAGAGGGACTTGAAGGAAAGTTGAACGGGATTTTTCGGATTAAAAACTGGCAACCAGTCAACCGAAACAAACAAGCCATTCTTAGAAGACAATGACATAGCGGAACTATATAAACATAGAAAAAAAGGAAAAATGTCGTTCAGGATGATTTTCCATTGTCTTTCCTTTATTTACAGTCATGATATTTTTTTCTCGTCGTACAGGTAACTTTCTCAAATCAGAATTGGTAACGGATAGGACAATTTCATCACGGGCTACCCTGTAAATTATTTCAGCTTGAATCCGAGAGATAACACTAAATTTTACACTTCATCAGGTGATGAACATAAGTTGAACTGAATGGCCTCCTTTTCTAGGCAAGTCAATATATAAGTCTTTAGAACTTCGAGGTTGAACTAGAGTTAATATAAATTTTTACTTGCTCAGGGCTCACCAAACTGGCTTGGTGATCTCTCGCAACCACTCGAAGGCTTCGTCTGGAGCGGCAGCATGAAGGGGCAAACCACCGGAATTGAAATCTGGAGCAAGCCTTTTTTCTTCACCAAACGGACGGGAGAAGAAGTAAGTAAAACAAAATGAAAAATGCCAAATGACGCGAGAGTAAACGTCCAGATCGACGAATGCACTGGCAAATACCGTCTATGGCCGGCAGTGAGTGAAATTCGCAATCCTAAGTTGCAATTGCGACCTAAACTTTCACAGTGCCATAAAAATAACAGATAATAAATTTAAATGACTATATGATGTTTCAACTAGGTTAAGAACTTACATATCACGCGAGCTGCTTCACGCGAAGACCCAGCCTATAGGCTCTAGCCTTTTTTACTTGATACTTTATAAGTCTCAACGAAAGTCGCGGAATGTTCGAAACGCGTTTCGCGCCGGCGCTTACAGAATCTAAAAATTTGAATTTTATAAAATATATTATTATCGTAAATAATTAGGCCATTCTCTACAAAATTTTTCCCAGTCCCACATTTAGTCGATTAATTTAGGATTACATGATAAGGCGAGCGAGAAGAAAACAAACTGACGAACAGCTTGCTGAACATTCGAGAAGAAATATAACCCGGGAAGTTGCGAGTGAAGTTTTTTTATGAAATTTGTAGATCAGCTCAAATACATAATGTTGTTACATAATGGGAAATGACGTTAATATGCTTTCTTCACTCAAAACATTTCAAACTCGGTAAACGATTTGCGTAAATCTGTTGCATATAATACTTACCATATTCTCAGGAGGCCATCATTCAATTTCAATTGTTTAATATACCTGGTTATTCTATGACTAGTATTTATCGTAACTCTAGTGGGGGAGGTATAACTGCTTACATAGACGACAAGTTCAGCGCGAGAGTTGATAACGATTTCACTTGGGTAAAAAATGAGTATGAACTCCTGAGTCTTAGTGTCAGCCTGCCTGTATTTGGGCTTTCTATATTTTGCGTTTACAGACCTCCCTCTAACAGCGTACGAACCTTCAATGAACTATTCACAGCCGAGGTTCTCTCAAAAATTAGAGAAACTAGTAAAGCATTTCTTTGTGGAACTTTAATATAAATCTATACAACCTTATCAATTTATGCTCAACGAACTGTTTTATCCATGACATTCTGGGCAGTAATTTTTATCCAGTCATAACCAAACCAACCAGAATCTCTCCCCAAAATCCTCTAAGCGCGTACTCGTTACTCGACCACATTTGGTGTAACTTTTCATTTGGATCAATCCCGAATCAGCTGTAATTGATTGTGACTTGTCGCGATAAACACTTGGTGACGTTCTTTTACTTTGAAATGGCGCTTCCGTGTGTTTCGCCTCTAAAAAAAATTCGCGTAATGAACAATGTCAATATTCTAAAGTTCACGGAGAATATGAGACTCTTCCCATCGGCATTTCTATCAAGTATTAACTAACCTAACTAAGCAATGAACTCTTTTTTTTTATCGGAACTTTCCAAAATGTATGTCGAATCAATTCTCACAATGTTTGTTTCCGCAAGAAAACATAAGTCTCCTTGGGTGTTTGCTGAAATTAGGTCTGCCACTAAGAAGAAGCATAAACTTCTAAAGCTTTTCCTCTCTGGTATAATTCTTCTGGCATAATTCTAAACAACAGTTAAGAAACAATTCTACACAGCCAAAATCAAGCCAAAGTCGAATGACTCAAAAGTTCTCTGGAAAATTGTTAACACCTTACTTGTAAAAAATGTTGCTAACAAAAGAATTGAATTGTTAAAAAATAACATGCTAATTTCTGGTAGCGAGGCAGCAATTGAATTTAACAATTATTTTATCTTGGGTGCTAATGAATCACTAAAATTTTAATTCCTGTTAACACTGATGTGACGCATGAAATTCCTTTTTGTGAGTCGTCCTGCTTCCTTTTCCCTACTTCTAAACTTGAAATTAAGAAATTTTTACGGTTGTGCAGGGGCAAGCCTATTCTGTTGATGAAATTCAGTCGAAAATGCTGTAACTTATAGCTGACACGTAGCGCCAGTTTTGGCTCATATTTTTAACCTATTTATGTCCTGTAGTGTGTATCCCGAGTCACTGAAACGTGCTCGCGTTATACCTATTTTTAAATCCTGTGACCCTAACAATCTGTAATTATCGCCCAATACGATACAATTTAGATTCGTACGAAATGGCACTTTGCCATTTCTTAATAAGATTTTTCAAAAATTCTCCATTCAAGATTAACAAATTTTTTCAACAATTTTCAATAATATCTAATGATCAGTTTGGTTTCCGTAAGGGTACTAACACAACTAGGGCAATATATTTTATTTAGTTCTAGACCTTCTCAAGACGTAATATTCTAAAAACTACTGTGTTGCGCTTTTTCTGGAGCTACAGAAGGCCTTAAGGCCTTTTGTAGGTCCAGATGGTGATTCACACACAATCAAATTTGCAAATTTGATTGTGTGAATCACCAAGTTCTATTGGGTAAGCTTCCCGTTATGGAGTTAGGGGGACCTTCCTCTCACTTATTCAGTCTTACGTCACGAGCCGAGTGCAGTTCGTCGCATTGAATGAGTTCAATTCCCCCTTATATAAGGCCCATCAATATACTTGGGCAATATATACACTTGGGCCTTTATTCTTTAATATTTTTATTAATGATATCGCCTCATCTTTTGATGTGAACTACAAGCTTTTTAATGTGAACTACGCCGTGTTCTATGTCTCGAGAAACTCGTATGACGAAGCGTGTGACAATATATCAGAGCTGTCATTGAATCTATCAAGATGGCTTCTAGCAAACAAGCTAGTGGCACATACAGACAAGACCAAGTTGATGCTTTTTACTCCTAGACCCGTTTTATGTGACATTACTTTCAATGGGACAATTTTACAATGGGTAGATGAATTCAGGTGTCTTGGTTTAATCCTCGATAACAAGATCTCCTTCAATAAACACATTAACCGCTTATAAATGCATTAACCGCTAAACTAGATATGCTTTTATAACCGAACTAAAGTAAAATGTCAGTGACACGCATGCATCAGGCGAACGAAATACACATGAGAAGAGCATTTGAGAACCAAGAATTCAACAACATTACTTGATAAATCGTTGCGTTCTATAATTAGGGTTAGGTATGATGATAATAATATTCCTTTGACATGCACCAGCGAATTATACAGGCAGTCGAAAATCTTAAAACTTGACGATATGTTCAGATTTTAACTTTTAAAATTCACGAATAGAGCACTTTTCCATGATGAACGTCTTTTTAAATCTATTTTCTAGTTCCCCAACTTTCCCATAACTCCAGGGGCGTTCGATTTTCCTTACCACCGGTTCGCTTAGAAATAGAAAAGAGCGGTACCGTTTTTAATTGTGTGAAATATTTTAATAAAATGCCAGATGAGTTCAAACAAGATTGCTCCAAAATGTAGAAAAAAAATTCCATGATTTTATCCTTATAACCGGTATTAATTTGATTTCGACCGTCATGCAAGTTTTTAACATTTTGGCAGATGTTTTTTGTTGTACCCTGTTTACTCAGTGTAATGTTGATATTGCCCCTTTTATGCTGTATTATTATGACATGCGGTTATCAGTTTTCTTAAGGCTATTGTCAATATGTTTCCTTATTTTAGAAATTTATTCCTTATTTGTTCTCAGCGTCATCTTATCACCAGAATAGAGTTTTATACCTACTGTGTTGCCTACGAAGGTTTTTTTAGCTTATATGAGCATTCACTTGGAAGTCTTGCTATTTTATTTTACGTTTCTTTTATGTCATTTTAGCGTGTGCTCCTTTGTGAATAAATAAATAAAATGGTATAAATAATCAACGATATTGTGGCTTCCTCTTTCTTGTCTTATCTTATTGTCCATATTTCTCTTTTCTTTGATTAATTTATGCTCTCAAAATCTCTCATCTCGATGCCGTTATTCTTCTTGACACTTTTATTATTGGTTTTAGGTGGCAGTGATACTTATGGACACACAGGGCACCTTCGACACCGATACACCGCAGGTATGCCTTCAGAATCTGTGAAAAAAGTCAAGGAAAAGGTTCAGTGATGTAGAATCAAATCTCAACTAACTCTCATCAAGTCAAGCAACTTTCCATGACTATATGCGCGCCTTAATGCACCTGCCTATAAATTTTCAATTCCTAAAATAAGTTCAGCTTTTCTTTTGAAGCATTAAATAATATGGATTTAAATGTTTATGATGCGTTTCCTCGAGTCTTCTGCTACGTAAAGAACGTAAAGTTTGGCAATTTAAAGGTAAAAGCACAGAATATTAACATGACTTAATGTCTTCGTTATTTACATTGGTGACAATATCTGCAGTACTGTCTGTGTGACTCGTACAATTGAAATTCAGTAATGATAATGCGAAAAAATGTTAAGTATAACAAGAAAGTGCAAAAGCTAAAATGAGACTTTTGATAGCTTTTCTGCAAAAAAAAAATATATATGCGTTTTTCACCATGAGATTTTGAAATGTGATGTCGGTGTGCCTGCAGTCCTCCCAAGCAGTCTCAGTGGTGCCTGCATCATTATGATCAATTTAATTTTAACAAAAAAAACAATGGTAAATGAAATAAAACGATTGTTAATGGCGGTTTTAACCCATTACTACTGTGGTCTCTAAATGGGTATCATGAACTTCAACCAAAAATAGTAGATAGTGTGTGTCTTGATATCAATTTGAAGGACCTCAGTATACAGTATTTGTTTAACTCATGATCAGTAATAAATATGAGAGTATTAGGAATAAATTGGAACTTAACTGATTATTTGGGCAGCTCTTATTGAGAGGAGTCTCCGTAATTAAGTGTTAGCTAGATGAATGTTAGCTAGATAGATTCTAATGTTTGCTAGGTAAATTCCATGACATCGGAATCTTTTAATAAATGTCTGACACAAAAAATCAGCTACAACAAGCGCAATGACACTTAATTTCTGAACAAATTTAGAAGACTATTTGAGCAAACAAATCGAACAGTGACAAGAAGAAACAAAGAATATAAACAAAGTAAGTAAGAATATATAAAAGTAAGGATAAAATGTTGTAATGGAACGTCGTGTATTACAGTGTTATAGTAAAATTTAGATTACGTACGTCTATACAGTATTTGATTTTCTTAGTAAACTCATACATCATCTTCAATTTATCCAAGCCTTGTACCTTCTCATGACCCTGTGGTCAACCACAATGTACGTCTTAGTATTTTGTATGATTATTTCCTGATAATCATTTGTGTCGATTTCTTGGCAGTTTTATTGGTGACTATGACTATTATTATTTATATTAGGGTATTATGGATTTGTGACATGTCTTACGTCATATCCTACTATGTTAATGTGACATCATTACAAGTTCGTATTTATGTAATTTTAAAAAGGCTCCGAAGCTGAGACTTGAAAAGGGTTTAATAGATGAGACAGCGGAACACACAGTTTATATTTATGTACATGGAATTGCTTCTATTATTATCGTTTTCATTCAACACTTTTATTAAAGCTTTCTTGCCATTAAATGGATTTTGTCAAAAGATCATATTTTTATGTCTGGGGTTAATGAAAGTTTTATCTATTCAATCATTTGTTCAATTAGCATCGACAATGTCTGAAGTGATATGCACTTTAAAATTTGAAAAATTCTTAGGAATAAATTCGTGCGGTAACTTTGCTTATTTATAAGATTACTGTTCACGTATTTTCAAACATTTAATTTCGCACTTAATTCATTCATTTGCATTTAATTAATTTTAGGTTATCAAAAATTCTATTTTCATTTGATCATTAGAGAAAACTTGGGACAAATTTATTTTTAGTGACAGGAAAAGGTAAACTGGCAGCTGGCATAAACTTCAACTGAAAAGGTGAACATTATAGCTTATTGAAGTCTGTTATTTTCTTCAGGATTCCACGTTTATATTTGCCCTAACTTTGCTGGCCTCCTCCGTGACGGTGTATAACATCATGCACAACATCGAGGAGAGTGACCTCATGCACCTACAGTCGTTCAGCGCGTACGGGGCCCTGGCCCAGCAGAATGACCAGGGCTCGCGAGCATTCCAGGTTCGTAGGATACGTGTAATGTCTTGGATGTAATTACTTATTATTTGATGGAAGCGATAACTTTTATTCCGCAGCGATAGCTTTTATTCCATTTTATATATATTTATTTAGATTAAATCAATCAATCACCGTTTCTTATTTTTTTTAGTTTAATTTTATTGGTTTGAAGTCATCAACGTTCAAGTGAGATTCTTTATTAATGAGGTGGTCTGGATGATGGCCAGTATGAAGGAGGGTGACGTGATGAAAAATTACCGATGATGTGATGGTTGGTGCTCCTATAGACATCGGGAATTAGTTCGTCCGACTCAAGGCGTGGGGCGCCCTATAAGAGGAGGCATGAGGCTGGTTAGAGAGGGAAAGTAAGGCTTACAGGGGATGTTTCACTTGCACAATGGTGAAGAGCAGAGACAGAAGCACAAAAATAATATATGTTCAGTTGTTCACTATGTTGAAGTAATTGAATTAAATGTACATTTTCGACATTTTTCTACTACAGAAGTTGTTGTTTTTGGTGCGCGACTGGAGTTTTGCTCAGGAACACCCGTACGGCCACGAGGACGGTCAACGGGTGCTGGAAAAAAAACTAGAAGTAAGTTGATCACAACATTACTAGTCGCAATCAAGGATTAATTATTATAAACATTATTATTATTACAAATATAATTATCATAAATATTATTATTATAAACCTATGGACGATCTACTTCAAGACCTTTTAAGATAAAGACTACAAGATTTTCCGATCTTTACAAAATTAGTTGACGAAAACATGACCGACGAATAATCATGAAAACCGTTCGAAAACGAATTCCTATCGTACATACAAGTTGAATGACCCAAAAGTAATAGTTGAATGACTTCTATATCATTTTTGATATAAAACTCATTTTTAATACTAAATTTCTCTAAAGCTCATTGGTTTTTCGTCGCAACACTAAAAAGATGTCGATCCATGGCCTTTCGAAAAATTTGTTTTCAAAAGAATTAATTTGTTCTATCATGTCCACTTAATGACTATATAGTGTAGCTGATATAAACTGCTATTTCTAAACGTCAGGTGAAGCAAGGGCAGAATTCTGCGCCCCAGAGGTTGAGAGATGGCCTCCGCCAGAGTTTCGAGGAACTGGAATGCTACCTCATGCCGCACATCGGCCTCAAAATCAAAGACAGTAGCTTCGATGGTCGACGTAATCGTGAGCATCACTCCAGACTAAAGCTTGGAAACGAGTTAACGTTTATAATTACTTGTACCCTCAATTAATCATTCAAATGGTGTATCGTTAGAAGATCATTTGTTCGCCTGTCTTCATTGTTAGCACCAATCGGAAATTATTCATTCCTAACAAAGGCAAACACATGAAGGCTTCATAATAACGCTAACTAAATATTGACTTGAGTTCAAGAGGAAGAGACATAACAAAATTTAACATTAACTTATTTGGTGTAACTGGAATGTACCATTAATGTAAACGGTTTTATAAATAGAGTCCAATGAACATTAGAATCATGTACTTAATATAAGATACCTTTATCAGTCATCTCTTATACTCCTGAAGTTAGAGTTGGCTTTGTGCTCCAAAACATTGTAGCTTCTATAATTCATTCGAACAAATAAATGCTTGATATCGATGAAGTTAATCTGGCAGTCAATGAAAGTGTCTATTACTTATTGATAGGATAATTAACGAACAGAATTGGATGAGCGATTCGTGGAGCACCTGCAGCTGCTGGTGCCTCGCCTGCTGGCGCCTGAGAACCTCGTGCTGAAGCGCTCAGCGGTGCGGCGGGGACAACCCGCCACCGGTGAAGAAGTGGTGGAACTCATCAAGACCTACATGGCGGCCTTTCAGGAGAAGAATCTTATTGAGCCAGTCAATTTGGTTGAGGTGTTGATGCTTGGGAAATAGCAATACGGTGTTTATCATTTATTTTATTTTTTGGGAGCGCTTACCATATCACGGATGAATATGATCTTCATCAAATGATGTATTTTCCAGGTTCCCTCTATGTATCATGGAAGATGAAATAGACTTTCAATTTGTTTATTCATTAGCCGACTTTTTGACAAGTGGAATAAAGACAAGCAGTTCATGTAATTTTTTTCTCGGTAGACATGGCAATTTGAGATGTTTAATGGTCACAATTCAGGCAGGAACCTGATAAACTATGGCATTCATTTAATAGTAAATCTTTGACCCACTTATTCAATTTCAGCTGATGTCACGCGTCTGCAGTGAAGGGGCTTGCAAGATTGCTCTTGCAGCTTACAAGAAAGCTATGGATTCAATTATCCTCCTCGAAGGAAAAAATGATGCTGCTTTCACTTTATTGGACCATCATTTTGCATCGAAGGAAGAAGCTATTGCAGTCTACGTTAGAGAGAATCAATACGCCAAAAATAAGGACTTGTTTCCTGTGGCAGATGAAATAAAGCAGCTGCTTGAAGCGGTGAGTAAACTCAAAAATTAATTAAATTCTATTCCTAGAAAACGTTTCCGAGTCCACCTTCCTCGTACGTTTATAAATCCCAACAAGTCCTGTGGACCAGACGGCTTCCATCCCAGATTGCTCAAAGAATTAGCAACCGTTCTGGCCGGCCCATTGACAGTATTCTTCCGAAAAACCTTGAACGAAGGAACTTTGCCGTCCGATTGGAAAGAAGCTCTAGTAACACCATTGTTCAAAAAAGGTGACAAAAGTAGCTCTGGTAACTATCACCTTGTCAGTCTGACAAGTGTTGTTTGTAAGATAATGGAACCTGTTGTGAAGGATAGGATAATCGATCACTTGACTGTTCACCATCTTCTATCAGACTGTCACCATGGTTTTATTGCCTAAGTTGAACGATTGGACTCGCTTTCTGGACGAAAGGGAGCCAGTGGATTCATTGTACCTCGATTTTGTTAAAGCATTTGACGTACTCCAAGGGATCAAAGGCTTCCTAGTTGATTTCTTCCATTATCGCCAGCATAATAGTTTTTGAATAATAATTTGGCACCTTGTTCCCGGTGTTAACAATTTATCTGTGACTGTAGACAGTGCTAGCGGATTCAGTCATCGTTGGGCGCAAAAACGGAAGAGTACCATAATAAAATTTAGAGGCGTGCGCGGCCCTGCATTAGGGCCGCCTAGGACTCGGCCCGCACGTAAATAAGATATTCTATGTCCGCTTCGGCTCAGGGTTCGAAGAGCAGCCTCTGGGCAGTTACCTAGTTCGGTATGACGAGGCTCGGCCAACCCTTGTCATACTCTCCGGCGACTATAAAGTCGGATAGGAGATTCTGACCTGAAACTGATTTCGATGGGGTGGCCAAGTAGACCCAGAATAACTTTGCGGCGAGTGTACTGCCTATTCGGCCAAAGCCTAGGCGGTCCACGAATTTTGTTAGGGTATAAATTTGATACATGCCGCATGATTGGCCCTTACACGCACGCAGCTGATGACATCATATGCAAAGAAAATACCGTGCATGTGTTTTGGAGAAAAAAGTATGCTGTAAATTTAAAGCGCTTCTTCTAGTCAAATGGAAATTGGATGGCGAAACTCTCTTTGTGATTTGTTGCCAAGAAGATCGCCATGGTTGTCATCAAAATTGCTAATAGCCAGCAGTAATTTGACCTGCATATGCGCTGAAAATAAAACAGATAAAGCCACTGATTTATAATCCTTATTTTCGTTAATTGCTATACTCGAAAGCTGACTAGGTGCGTGAATGATGGCAGAAAAGTCAGTTACAATATTTTCATACTCTTTTAGACTGGGACTTGCATGGCCCGGCATTAAATTGCCAAAATTAAAAATTTCGTTATGTTAGAGTTAGAATTAGGGCTAGAGGTGCGAAAAATGTTTTTTAGACACTTTTTACAATTTTACTAAGGTTATTTCCAGCCAGGCAAGGTTCTTTTACCGTAGACAACTAAAATAATATAAAAATAACTAATATAAATTAATTGCTTCGTTAAGGTTTCTTTTGCCTTACAAGATTTTCTGATAATACCAAGGGTTCTACATCCCATCGCGTGATATCGTAGTGAAATGAAATTTCGACATAGTGATATTTGAGCGATATCGGCATAGTTCCTATTTTAATGAGTATTGAAAGTCACGCTAAAGAAAAAGCGCTAAATTATTATTTTATTAAGTAATTAACTATTATTAATCGCTTTTTTAAAATTAAATGAATGCAAAATAATTGGTAGAATTCACATTTTCATACCAGGTTAAGGAGTAGCCATGTAGTAGGTAAAAGCATAAGGATTATAAAAATTTCTGTTCGAAACAGTGCTCAAGGACAATATTAATATCATATCAGCATTTATAGGATATTTTACTTTTTATGTTGTTGTGATCCCGTAGTGCAAAGTCAAAATGAAGAAATTTGTACCGAAAACATTTTTAAGAAATAATATTTTACCCGAAGTCTGTCACGCTTCCACCATTATCGTCGTTTGAATTGCGTGCTTCGGAGAGTATAAAAATCATGAAGAACTTTTCATAAATTTCCACTTAAATTTTACAGAAATTGGTTTTGGTTGTCCTACCATGCTGTCATGTCTATTAATTATACATCAATAATCGTACGTAAGCAGCAGTTATTAATAACCTAACCTAACCTAATAACCTAAGTAAGCAGCAGTTGTTTATTTTGGCTCATGATTCGAAGTTGGCGAATGCACCCGAGCCGATTGAGGCTCGATTACATTAGATAGTAAATGTTGGAGTATATTTTTCGAAAATAAGATAGATAATAACAAAATTCAATAAAATTAAAAACAATTAATAACATAAAAAATTAAATTGAATTATATTCAATCAAGACACCTTAAATAATTAAATACATATTGATACTTCCGTTTCTAAAAAAATTGAGGAAAAAGCGTAAATTTCATCGTCCGAGTCGAAAATTTCGTTTATATGCTCATATTTTAATGTTTGGGCACGGTTGATGGTAATGCTATGGATGGAACGATTGTCAGGTAATTAGTGATTGACTGAGGCATGATAACGAAGCCTTAAACACAAACCAGAAGCCGTGTTGGGTGTCTTTGTGAGGCGATTTCAAGCGACAATGTATGGTAACTTGCCCGTGATAGGGTTAAGACGTCCTTTTATTTCAGATAATGGAAAGTATGAACTCAGACCATATGGAAGCGAATGAACGTAAGCAGAAGGCAAGTCAATGCAGCAGTGCAGCTAAAATGGAGGCGCTGAGCGTTTACAAGAGCGCCATGGACTTGGTGATCGGCACCGATAAAGCACTTGACGCCTCAACTCTAATGGAACATCACTCAACATCAAAAGCCATCGCTACTCAAGCCTACGCCAGGGAAAATCAGTACACCAAGGACAGTGAACTTTTTCCGGTCGTGAACGAAATGAAAGCGCAACTGGAAAGTGTGAGTAAATATGTTTTGGTGATTGCTGAGTTCTTAAGTGCTTGCATAACTGTGCCCAATGAGCGGTTTTGCTGCCTCCAGCCTCACGCGAAGCAGATCTAATATTGTATCGTGTCTTTCCTGTTTATTCCAACCTGTGTGTACATACGTTTATGCATTTATTATAGTATGGAATGGGAGCAGAGTTTTTTCTAGAATACCAGTTTGCTTGATGACCAGAAATAAAATTTTAGCATAATTTTCATGTACGTTTGTTCAACGACATTTTTCTCTATCGTTTGTTGACTGAATAGTACGTTTCCGAAAGAGAATTCAAGATTATAACAACGTTCTTCAGTGATTTTTTTTACAGTGATTTTTTCATGACGAAGTTTTTTCATTTTTTTTGGTAGATCGAAATTTGTTTATCGGCAATATTTGTTTTGCTTTATTAAGAATTTCTTTAGGATTATCGTAGGACTCGTTCATCTGCATTGTAACCGTTGCTCATTAGATTTGGATATTTGACGGTCGTGACGTTTTCATTTAGTCCTAGTTTGTTTTTGGCTCGGTCAAGTCTCGATCGATAACTAATTAAGAAAAAACAAAAATTCTAATCCGCCAAATTTAGAAAAAACAATAAAAATCTTTAAAAATAATTTTTCATATAACCTGAATGTTTTTCTCCTTCTATGCACCAGATAACGAAGCAAAGGAAACTTACGAGCCAATTCACAAATTTCAATGATTTTTTATGTATCCAACTAAATTATTATTGAACTTTAATTAGAAATGAGAAACCACTGCGATGATGTGAATCCATTGCGGTATGCGGCATGTCTTATAATTACTCCATACTAATAATACATACTAAACTCTTGCAACTTTGGAAAACTCTTGCAGCTTTGTTCCAGGAAATTGAGGGCTTGTTCGCAGACTATTCTGAGAAGAATCAAGAGAAACTGAGGCAATGCACCTTGGTCGCTAAAGAGAAGGCGCTGAAGGAGTACGAGGAGTCCATGGGTTTACTGATACGTGCCTATACAGAGGTTCTTGACGCCTCAACTTTAAAGAAACTTCACTTAATATCAAGGATCAAAGCCACTCAAGCCTTCGATAGAAAAAATCAGTGCGCCCAGAAAAGTGAAATTTCACTCGTGAAGGAAATTAGAGCACAACTTGAGAGGGTAAGAATATGTGGCCTACAAATTGAAACTGAATTCTTTTTTATCGAATATTACAATAAAGTAGAATTTAATTGAATGCACTGTGTACATAACTTGAACATTCTACGAGTTTTAATGTGGGATGCTTTTTTGTTTTGCAAAAATAAAAAACCAGAAAAATTTATCTCGTCTTGTGATGTCTGTTCATCTAACGTTTATAAAATTTTCACGATCATAGAATATTTTACCATCAATGCTTCAAACAATTTTGAACTAGTTGATAAAGCTTTGAATACAACACAATTTGTATAGATTTAACATTATG